AGAGCTGAGATTGTTGGGATTTGGGGAGTGCAGTGGCTCCCAAAGATCTGTAATGCCAGTGGTTTGGGATGCCAAGGAAGGATAATCACTTAAGACCAGGAGTCTGAGATCAGTCTGGGTTACATAGCGAGACCCTAACACTGGGGAAAAAAAAAAAATCAGCCAGGTGCAGTGGCTCATGCCTGTAATCCCAGCACTTTGGGAGGCTGAGGCAGGCGGATCACCTGATGTTGGGAGTTCGAAACCAGCCTGACCAACATAGAGAAACCCCATCTCCACTAAAAATACAAAATTAGCCAGGTATGGTGGTGCATGCCCAAAATCCTAGCTATTCAGGAGGCTGAGGCAGGAGAATTGCTTGAACCCAGGAGGCAGAGGTTGTGGCGAGGTGAGATTGTGCCACTGCACTCCAGCCTGGGCAACAAAAGCAAAACTCCATCTCAAAAAAAAAAAAAATAATTACTCTTGAGCGAGGGTCTCTCACTGTTACCGAGGCTGGAGCACAATGACTTGATCACAGCTCACTGCAGCCTTGACTTCCTAGACTCAAGTGATCCTCTCACCTGAGCCCCCTGAGTAGCTAGAACCACAGGTGCATACCACCATGCCCAACTAATTTTGTTATTTATTATACAGACAGTCTCACTATGTTGTTCAGGCTGGTCTTGAACTCCTGGGCTCAAGCTATCCTCTCATCTTGGCTTCCCAAAGTGCTGGGATTACAGGCGTGAGCCACCACGCCCAGCAGTACAAGAAAAAGTTTTTTTAAATTAACTGGGCAGGAGTTCAATGTTACAGTGAGCTATGATTATATCAGTGCTCTCCAGCATGTGCAACAGAGCAAGACCCTGTCTCTTAAAAAATTAAAAAATAAATAAATAACCTAGAAAAAGAAGAGCAAACTCAATCAAAAACAAATAGGAAAAAGGAAAAAATAAGAACAGAAATCAATAAAACAAAACTGACAACAGAAGAAAAGCAATGACACCAAAAGTTTCTTCTTTGGAAAGAAAAAAGGGAAAAAAAATCCACAAATGATCAATATCATGAGTGAAAGAAAGTGCATCACCACAGATTTTACAGACATTAAAAGAATACCAGGATACTAAACATCTGAAATCATCCAACCTACCTCTTCAAAGGAATATTTTTCTACAGTATGAAGAGCATCCTGGGTCTCATTCCATCCTCCAATAGAATAGATGCAGTCATTGAGTGCAGCCACACCAAGATATGCTCTCCTGGTTCCCATTGGAGGAAGTGGAGACCAACGCTTAGAAAGTGGATCATAGACTTCAAAAGAACGAAGTTCTATTCCTTCATTGCTGATGCCCCCAATTACATAAATTAAACCTGGAAGTGGAATATTTTTGCTCAGATGCTACAGAAAGTGAGATACAAATAGTGATGAAAAGTAATGATTGTGATCTGTTTCCTATGCTGATGCTATGTTTAATCTAGGGCTTACAATTTTATTTAAGAGAGAAAATCAACTTTGTCAAGTTTATCACCTCACTATTCAGCAAGTTGTAAAAAATTAGTGGAACTAATTTAAAATAGCATTGAGTTTTCAAAGAACTTGAAATAATCTGTCAGCTGAGGATTTTCTATCTAATTATCTGCTTGGTGATCTCAGGTTCCAGATCCACCCACAGATAAAACAGGAAAGGAAAATGGATTTTTTTTTTCCCTAAAAAATGTTATGCACTTAAGCTGGGAATTACACGGCCCTCTTTAGTGACAGCCTAACTGTTGCTCAGATGGACATAAAGTAGGGAATTTAAATTTAAATAGTATGTGGCTAAATTAAGGTATCAGAATCAATTACTACAGTACACAGCTGGGTGTAGTGGTTCACAATCCCAGCACTTTGGGAGGCCAGGGAAGGCGAATCACTTGAGCTTGAGACCAACCTAGGCAAAAAATACAAAAAATACAAAATTAGTCAGGCATGATGGTTTGTGCCTGCAGTCCCAGCTACTCAGGCAACTGAGGTGGGAGGATGGCTTGAGTCTGGGAGGCAGAGGTTGCAATGAGCCAAGATTGCACCACTGCACTCCACCCTGGGCAACAGAGTCAGAACTTGTCTCAAAAAACAAAAACAAAAACAATTACTACAGTAAAATATAATGTAATTTACATAAAATTTCCTTATAAACTCTGGCAATCTACAATTATTTTTGAATCTGTAGTGTTGTACTTCATCTTCTAAAGTGAGGAGTTACAAAGAATTATATTTTACGACATGTGGGCTAGGCTGGGTGCAGTGGATCATGCCTGTAATCCCAGCACTTTAGGAGAACAAGGCGGGCGGATCACGAGGTCAGGAGATTGTGACCATCCTGGTTAACATGGTGAAACCCCGTCTCTACTAAAAACACAAAAAATTTGCCAGGTGTGGCGGGTGCCTGTAGTCCCAGCTACTCCGGAGACTGAGGCAGGAGAATGGTGTGAACCCGGGAGGCGGAGCCTGCACTGAGCCGAGATCGCACCACTGCACTCCAGCCTGGGTGACAGAGCGAGACTCCATCTCAAAAAACAAAAAACAAAAAAACAAAAAAAAAAAGAAAAAAGAAATGTGGGCTAAATGTCAGTATAGTAAACCTGGGTTTTAGTTCCAGCCTTGCCAGTAACCAGCTATGAGAAAAGACAACTCACAGCCTTCCTGATCTTCAGCTTCCTCATCTATAACTTAAAGAAGTTGAAATAGGTAAGTTCAAAGATTCCTTTCTAGGTAGCTCTATGATTTTAGATGGAATGATAAAAATAATAAATATAAAACAACTAGGAGACATGATATTAAACAGTAAGATATAGTCTGCACCACATAATTTGCTAATAGAAATCAGAGAATACCGGCCGGGCGCTGTGGCTCATGCCTGTAATCCCAGCACTGTGGGAGGCCGAGGCGGGTGGATCACGAGGTCAGGAGATCGAGACTATCCTGGCTAACTTGGTGAAACCCCGTCTCTACTAAAAATACAAAAAACTAGCCGGGCGTGGTGGCAGGCGCCTGTAGTCCCAGCTACTTGGGAGGCTGAGGCGGGAGAATGGCGTGAACCCGGGAGGCGGAGCTTGCAGTGAGCTGAGATCACGCCACTGCACTCCAGCCTGGGAGACACAGCGAGACTCCGTCTCAAAA